CACATTCTGAATATGTTTTCAAGGTGGCCAACCAGATCTGCTGATAATTTTGATATGGGTGCAAGAGAAATAGAAAGGAGTCAGGTTTGCCAAGGGAAGAACAGAGAGGCGTTAACTGAGATGAAGAAGATGTTTGATGGAAAGGTGGTGCTCAGGATTTACACCTGAGACATGATGAGTTAGAGGTGCCTATGAGACATCCAGGTGGAGATCCACGTCTGAAGTCCAGAGGAAAGTTCTGAGCTGGAGCGAGAAATGCAGGCTACAGCCCTGAGACTAAATGGGCTTTCAAAGGAACCAGTGCCCTGGGACATTCCAGGGTTTAGTGATCAGGGCAGCAAGCAGGAACCAGCAAAAGAAGGAGAAATAGAGAGGTGGAAGGAAACCAGGGTGAAGGGGTCCCAATGTCAGGAGAAAAGAGTGTTATCAGGGAGAGAGAGTGACCATCTGAGTCCCATGCTGCTGGACAGGTCCGGTAGGATGCAGCCTGGGATGGCCCATCGGCTTCAACAGTGTGGCAGTGACCTTGCAAAAGGATATCGAAGCTCATTTCCAGCCCTGAGATTCTATAATTGTCCTTGTAGTTTAGGCAAGTTATTATATTTGGAATGAAACAGATAATGAAGGAAGAGTCCAAGCAGGCTAAGCGGTTGCCTCATCAGAGGTAACTCGACACTTGGCATATGATGGAGCCAAGGGGAGGAAGCGCAAAGCCCTCCAGTTGTTTTCAATGCTTATTTGTCCTGGGACAGTAACTCTGCTTCAAGGGTCTGGCTTTCAGGTTGGAGTCAAGATTCAAGCCCAGTTTAGCCTAGTTCCATCTTTCTCTTCATTACACTTTTGTTTCTTTTTAGAGCAAGATGTTTCCAGCACTAAAACTTCTGGAAATTACAAATCAGCTCCCTCTTCATCTTTTGCTCTGCTTTATAAAAATTTGACATTATCCTATAGGATGTTCTTTTTATTTTCTTCCTCATACTTTTGTGCTGCTGATTGGTCTGAAAGCATCATTCCTCTAATCAATAATTTCTATATTTGAGATGTTCATGGAAAGGTTAAGAAAGAGGATCCGAATGGAGAGAACAAGGCAACAAGGACCCGGGCTTGCAGAAGACTATAAATTTGTTTTGAGTTTTAGCCTGTCTCAAACTTCTCCTGTGATGCTTAGCATCCAGATTTGTATCATATCTGATTCCTCCTATTTGAGGAGGAATTTGAGTCCTTGGCCTGCCCTTAACCATGGCCCTTCACCATGCATCCTTGATCCGCCCCTGGCCCTATTCTTATTCTTCCTTGGGGAGCCCTATCTACATGCCATGAATTGGACCACAGACATTATCAACGGCATGTCAAAGTTTAATCAGAGTGTTCTTTTTCTTTTTTTTTTTTAAGATTTATTTTTATTTATCTGAGGGAGACAGAGCATGAGCATAGGGGAGGAGGCAGAGGGAGAGGGAGAAGCAGACTCCCCACTGAGCAGGGAGCCTGAAGCAGGGCTCCACCCCAGGACCCTGAGATCATGATCTGAGGAGAAGTCACACGCTTAACCGACTGAGCCATCCAGGCACCCGCAGAATGTTCTCTTTCTTAACAGTACATATAATGGTAGTCTTACAATCCAGAGGTGTCTCAGATTCAATGATCGATGATACTAGCCACATGCAAACCATCTATGCTGCAGTGGGTTCCCCTTCCGAGTGCCCCTGTCTCCCTGCTTCTCTCTATCTCCAGTCTTCGCCCTCAGCATGCCATTTTTTCCAAACAAGATTAGCTACTTATTATCTTAGTTCCAGTGTTTGTACAATGGAAATATTTCTTAGTAACTCATCTTTCTTATTTGGAAACGGTACTCTGTAAACGAAAGGCATTGACTTTTATTTCTTTTCTCGCTTGATTAATTTGTTTCCTTCTCAGGAAATGCAGTTGACAAGCAGGACACAAAGCCAGGGCCCCAGTGGTGGTGGGGATGGGAGACGTGGGGAGGAAGTCAGGGATCTGGGTCCTCTGGCCGTGCAGGAACTCGCTGGTGGCTGTGGTCCAGCCCCTTCCTCCTCTCTGAGCCTGGGCATTTGGATCAGAGAAAGAAGGGACTGAGTTAGCCAATCTCTGAGGTCCTTCTTTTTTTTTTTTTTTTTAAGATTTTATTTATTTATTTGAGACAGAGAGAGCACAAGCAGGGGGAGCAGCAGAGGGAGAAGCAGGCTTCCCGCCGAACAGGGAGCCCGATGCAGGACTCGATCCCAGGACCCCAGGATCATGACCTGAGCCGAAGGCAGACGCTGAACCGACTGAGCCACCCAGGTGCCCCTCTGAGGTCCTTCTTGCCCTAACTTCTGGAGTTCTTCATTTGAGTCTGCCAGAAATCCTCACTGGAAAATTAGTTCTCACCTATGCCCACCTGCCCTGGTGATGGAGGGCTCTGAGACCACTCAGGCCTGAGCAACTAGAGCCTCCTCTCGGGTGAGGAGCAGAAGCTCGCCTCCCGTGACCACACCGTGTCCCCCCAGTCACAGAGCAGTGTCTAACATGCAGCTATTGTGAGGTCCAAATCCTGGGAGCACGAACTGCAGGAAGCGGAGGGCCGCACCTCACTGTGATGACGTCTACTTGTCTGTCGCGCTGGGACTTGTTCAACTTTGTGCCCACCCTCACTCCTCTTCCATACTCAGCACTCACCAGCGTACAGCGGGTACCCAGGAAGTGCCCAGTGACTGAATAGTCCATATGTTGGTGACTAACACCAGGGTAAGGGAAGAAATGCCCAATCGGCTCACTGGGAAGGAGTAGAGCCAAGGAGGAGATCATCGGATGCCGCCGCGGACAGTGGGAAGACCTAAGATTCGGAACACCAAAGGCCAACATGGTGAGAAGTTATTAAGATATAGAAACAAGACTGTGGCAGATGCCACAGCATCCTTGTGCATCAAAATTTCCTCAATTTTCCTTGAGTTAACCACCTCTCCCCACTGTCAACCCATGTGATTTGAATGGAGGGACTCCAGCCTGCGGTCTTGAGGGGACGCAGGACCCGGGCCCCAGGGGCAGGCATGCTGTAGAATTTGAGTGCCCTCCCTAAGACACTTGCTGGAGCGATTGAGAATAGGCACTTTTTCCACAGGAACTCTGAATTCCCAGCATACCATCCCAGAGCTGCTGGTGGCCCCTTTGTCACCACAGGGAGCTCCAGCCTGAGAATATAGCCAACCCAAAAGAAAGCTGAGCCAAGAGCTGGAAGGACACTTATTGTGAATCCCTTGATCCAGCCAAGCTCCACATCCCCTGGACTTTTCAGTAAGCTGGGCCAATAAGTGCCTTTCCCCCCGCCCCTAAATTGTGCAAATAGAAGCAACCGATTTTTTTTTAAGATTTTATTTATTTATTTATTTATTTATTTATTTATTTATTTATTTATTTATTTATCTGACAGAGAGAGAGAGAGCACAAGCAGGAGGAGCTGCAGAGAGAGAGAGAGAGAGAAGCAGGTTCCCCACTGAGCAGGGAGCCTAAAACGGGGCTCGATCCCAGGACCCTGAGGTCATGACCTGGGCCAAAGGCAGACGCCCAACCGACTGAGTCACCCAGGTGCCCCCGGATTTTTGTTTTTTTAACTTGCACATTTGAAACAGTTACAGGCTTAAAAGAATGAAGTCTTACTGCAGAGACGAGCCCGCGAGCAGTGCTGAGATAGAGTGCGCTTCTGAAGCCATCCCCAGTCCTGCCTGGCTGACGTGGCCGGGCTGCAGGGGCCATGGTGGGCTGAAGAACATTCCTCTCATCCCGATGAACTCAGGAAATAGCAACCTCACTGTGTGTGTCCTCCTGTCAGCAGGTGTTTCTGCCTTCAAACAGCGCTTTGGGAAGCCAAGGGGGGTGGTTGACACCTGTTTTGCTAGTAAGACGCATGGAAGCCCATGCATACTCTTACCACCCCCAGTATGGCCGGGGGGGGAGTGCCCCCCCATTTACATTGTAAACATGTCTTGCATAATTGAGCTCCTCTTTTTCTGGTTAAACATTACCCACAGCTGCCTTCTGGATGGAAAATACGCCAACAAATCACTGAGCAGGTATGTGTCAGTGAAGAATTTCCCACTAACCCGCAGGGATGCTGACCCTTCGTTTTCGCAGCCTGGGGGTGGGAGGCCATAAGAGTCACTTGTGCAGGGTGTGTGTGGTTGCAATGAATTGTTCCTCCCAGATGCTGCATGTGTCAGGAAGCGAGGGCTTCCTCGGGTGTTAACATGAACTCCCATCCATTCAGCGGGGGGGCGCTCCCAGCGGCCAACCCAGGCCCAGTGGCTAGGTTTTTGTTTTTTCCTTCCAAAAGCCATGTTTTGGGGCGCCTGGGTGGCTCAGTAGGTTAAGCGTCGGCCTTCGGCTCAGGTCATGATTCCAGGGTCCTGGGATCGAGCCCCACGTCGGGCTCCCCACTCGGCAGGAAGCCTGCTTCTCCCTCTCCCACTCCCCCTGCTTGTGTTCCCTCTCTCGCTGTGTCTCTGTCAAATAAATAAATAAAATTAAAACAGAAACAACAACAACAACAACAAAACCCTCCAAATTCTTAAAAAAAAAAAAAAGTCATGTTTTCAGACTTTCCAGTGCATCGAAGCTTCCCAGGTATTCCTTAGAAACAAAACGGGCTTTCATGTCACTTTATTTACGGCAACTGTTGCTGGGTTGACGCTATTTAAACTACGTTCCAGGAGCCGGGAGAAGCTTTCTACCTACTTACCTCATGTATGGATCCACAACACATCTGTGTGTGAAAATGAGTTTCGTTTTATTTTTCTAATATAAAAGTATCAGACACACAGGCAAACTTAGTCTGGGACGGGCTACGCAACTGGATGAAGGTCACAAACTTGTACATAGGTGTGAGAGCACTCCCTGAGTCCGCTGGACCCCGGATCTCATGTTCTGCCACTTGCTGCCACCTCCAATCAGATAAATGAAAAGAAGGGCAAATTTTGAATTGAAGTAAGGCACAAAATTTAAGCTGATTTTCCCCTTCTCAGTATTCTAAAAACACTTACTGTTCCTTTTTTTTTTTTTTTAATCTATTTATTTATGTGAAAGGGAGAGAACATGTGCGAGAGTGTGGGGGAGGGGGGAAGGAGAGAAGCAGACACTCCACTAAGCTTGAGCTGAAATCAAGAGTCGGATGCTTAACCGACTGAGCCACCCAGGCACCCCGACTATTCCTCATTTTTTAAAAATCAGCTTTAGGGCACCTGGTTGGCTCATTTGGTAGAGCATGCAACTGTTGATCTCAGGGTCGTGAGTTCAAGCCCCATGTTGGATGTGGAGCTTATTAAAAAAATATATATAATAAAATAAAAATCAAGAAAATTTGGGCGCCTGGGTGGCTCAGTTGGTTGGGCGACTGCTTTCGGCTCAGGTCATGATCCTGGAGTCCCGGGATCGAGTCCCGCGTCGGGCTCCCTGCTCGGCGGGGAGTCTGCTTCTCCCTCTGACCCTCCCCCTCTCATGCTCTCTGTCTCTCATTCTCTCTCTCAAATAAATAAATAAAATCTTTAAAAAATAAAAAAAATAGAGCTAAAGTCTTTAAAAAAAATCAAGAAAATTTTAAAAAAACAGCTTTATTGGGATATAATTTACATACAATAACATTTATTTTATTTAAAAAATTTTAAGTGTATGGTGGACAGAATTTGGACAAATGCATACACTTGTACAACCAGTACCACAATTGAGGTACAGAATATTTCGATCACCCCAAAAGTTCTCTCATGCACCTTTGCTGCCAATCTCCTCCCCCTTCCCCTGGCTCCAAGTGACCACTGATCTCATTTCTGACCCCACAGTTTGCCTGTGCTTTAATTTTATATGAATGGAGGGGCACCTGGGTGGTCAGTCGGTTAAGTGACCAACTCTTGGTTTCAGCTCAGGTCGTGATCTCCTGGGTCGTGAGATCGAGCCTCATGTTGGGCTCTGTGTCCGGCAGGGAGTCTGCTTGAGATTTTCTCCCTCTGACCCTCCCCCTAATCAGGAGATCTCTCTCTGAAATAAATAAATATCTCTTTTTGAAAAATCTTTAATTTTCTACGAATGGACTCATGCAGCATGCACTCATTTTTGTCTGCTTCCTTCACAGAACCTAATGCACTCAATATCATTCATGTGCCAATAGGTTGTCCTTTTTATTCTGGGTAGTATCCTGCTGTGTGAATGAAGGCTCTTTGTCCCTTTATTAGTTGATGGGCATTTGGATTGTTTCCAGTTTATTGTTAATAAAGCTGCTCTAGAAACAGACCCATAAATACAGAGAACAAACTGATGGTTGCCAGAGGGGGTGGGGGTGCAGGGATGGGCAAAATGGGTGAAGGAGAGTGAGAAGCACAGGCTTCCAGTTACGAAATGAATATGTTACAGGAATAAAAGGCACAGTATAAGGAATATAATCAGTGGTATTATAATAGCATTGTAAGGGGGCGCCTGAGGGGCTCAGTCGGTTAAGCGTCTGGCTTCAGCTCAGGTCATGATCCCGGGGTCCTGGGATCGAGCCCTGCGTTGGGCTCTGCGCTCAGCAGGAAGTCCGCTTGAGAGTCTCTCTCTCCTTCTGCTCTGCCCCCAATTCGTGCTCTTCTCACTCTCTCTCAAATAAATTTTAAAAATCTTTAAAAAAAATAAATAATAGCATTGTATGGTGACAGATGGTAGCTACACTTGTGAGCACAGCATAACCTTAGACCCTATTGAATCACTATATGTTGTACACCTGAAACTAATGTAACACTGTGTGTCAGCTACAATTAAAAAAAAAGTCTTAAAAAAGATAAATAAAAAATAAAGCTGCTCTAAACATTCATGGGCAAGGCTTTGAATGAACATGTTTTCATTTCACTTCGGTAAATACCCAAGTGGGATCTCTGGGCGTATGATAAATGTATTTTAACTTTATAGGAACCTGCCAAACTGTTTCCAAAGCAGTTTTCTATTTCCAGCAGCATTGTATGAGATTCTCAGTTGCTCCACAGCCTCGCCAATACTTGGCATAGTCAGTCTTTTTAATTGTAGCCATTCTGGTGGGTGTTTAGAGATATCCTTTTTTTTTTTTAAGATTTTATTTATTTATTTGAGAGAAAGCAAGTGAGAGAGAGAGAGAGAGTTGGGGGCGGGGGAGGACAGTGGGAGAGGGAGAAGCAGGCTCCCCGCTGAGCTGGGAGCCCGATGTGGGGCTCAATCCCAGAACCGTGAGATCATGACCTGAGCCGAAGGCAGATGCCCAACCTCCTAAGCCACCCAGGGACCCCTGTAGTTTTAATTTCCGCCCCTTGTTTTCACAGAGAGCCAGAAGCTGGAGGGTCAGAGCTTAGGGCCCTGCACTCGTGGGCTGACATGAAGGCCTCAGCTGGGGGAAGCAACATCAAAACACGTGGACAAAAGCCCACACTTTGCAGAACAAACTCCACACCTGGATTTGTTTCCAAGCTTAAGTTACTAAGGAAACCCCTTAACCACTTGTCTGTTACCAAGAAGACTAGTCTAAATGTGCAGCTTCTCTGGTTTTGAAAGGACAGGGCTGACTTAGCTCTACTCACCGGGCCACAGTCTTGCCATCAGCCTCCCTGAACCCTCTGGGCATTTCCTCAGGACCCTGGTCAAAGAATGGATATATGAACAGCGTGTCAGGCACATTCCTAGTGCTGGTGATCAGGTCCCAGCCTGCTTACTGTCACAGAGAGGTCACAGAACTTATTGTCCGGCAGAGAAGACAGATACCAAACAAGCAATTATAAGTCGTATGTGTGATGAAAGCCAAGGACAGTATGGGCACGTAACAGGTGGACTTAAGCCAATGCCGGGGATCAGAAAGGCACTTGGGCATTCCGGGAGGGGGAAGAACGTGTACTAAGCTCTGAGGAGGCATAAGCCGGTGAGTCTGATGGAACAAGTGAGCCTAATAAAGAATGCAGAGGCCCCCGTTCACTGCAGTAGGGTAGGGCCTGGGGCCTGTGGTGGTTGCATTTTTGCCACATTGCCCAGGCTGTCCCGATACCTACCAAAGTTTGAGAACTTAGGCCTTGGAAGAATAATGCACAGGGCCACCTCTCCCACAGCATGGCCAACACAGCCCCGCCCCGATGGAACTCGACTCCTAACGCATCTTGTCTTGGTATCCACATTGTGTGACCGGCTACCATTCTTTCATCATTGTGCAGACTGGGTGGGGGGGGGGGGGGCTGTTTTCATTATTACAGGGCTTGATTTACTTTTTTAAAATATTTTATTGATTTGACAGAGAGAGAGAGAGAGCACAAGCAGGGGGGAGCGGCAGAGAGAGAAGCAGGACCCCAGGATCATGACCTGAGCCAAAGGCAAACGCCCAACCGACTGAGCCACCCAGGCACTCCTACATGCCTTTATTTTTAGAAGTAGACTTATTTGGATAAAATTTACCTACAGCCAAGTTTACTGATTTTAAAAAAAATTCAATGAATTTTGACAAATGTATACAACTGTAAAATCATCACCCAAAAAGTTCGTTTGTGCCCTTTGTAGTCAATCTCCTGACCCTGCCCCGAACATCCACTAATCGGCTTCCTGAAACAATTGTTTTGCCTTTTTTATAATTTCGTATAAATGGAATCATACATATGTAGTCCTCTGTATCTAGCATCTTTCATTTGTATCATGCTTTTGAGGCTTATCTATTTCGATGTGTCTAGAAGTAGTTCAAGCTTTTTAATTGCTAATGAGTAATCCATTGTATATGGATTACTACAATTTGCTCACTAGTTGCTGGATGTTTGGGTTGTTTCCAGTGTTTGTGTGTTACAGATAAAACTTTTATGAAAACAAGTACAAGTCTTTGTGTGAACACGTTTCCATTTGTCCTCAATAAACATCCAGCAGTGGGACTGCTGGGTCACATGGTAAGTGCATGTTTATAAGAAGCTGCCAAGGGGCGCCTGGCTGGCTCAGTCGGTAGAGCATATGACTCTTTTTTTTTTTTTTTTTCTGGTCCAAATTCTTCCATTTATAGATGAAGGAGTTGAGTTACAAACATAATACATAGTATAAATATTAGCAACAATGTAAAGAAAAATAAATGGGTAGAACTACGATTATAATTAAACACCTCAAACCTGTTAAAATTTAAAACTATCAAATGTAGAGTTAACCAACATATGCAAAGAATTCAAGAGTATGATAATATTAATATTGCTTCCACTTTAATCTCACACAAGTAATTCACAAAAAAGTGCTAAGATGCACTTTGTAATTGAATTTTGTAAGCATTAAAATTCTGAAATTTTTTTTTGAAATGCTTGTTTTATATTTATTTATTTATTTTATTCTTATGTTAATCCCCATACATTACATCATTAGTTTTAGATGTAGTGTTCCATGATTCATTGTTTGTGCATAACACCCAGTGCTCCATGCAGAATGTGCCCTCCTCAATACCCACCACCAGGCTAACCCATCCTCCCACCCCCCTCCCCTCAGAACCCTCAGTTTGTTTTTCAGAGTCCATTGTCTCTCATGGTTCGTCTACCCCTCCGATTTCCCCAGCTTCATTCTTCCCCTCCTGCTACATTCTTCTTCTTCTTTTTTTTCTTAACATATATTGCATTATTTGTTTCAGAGGTACAGATCTGAGATTCAACAGTCTTGCACAATTCACAATGCTTACCAGAGCACATACCCTCCCCAGTGTCTTTCACCCAGTCACCCCATCCCTCCCACCCCACCCCCCACTCCAGCAACCCTCAGTTTGTTTCCTGCGATTAAGAATTCCTCATATCAGTGAGATCATATGATACATGTCTTTCTCTGTTTGACTTATTTCGCTCAACATAATACCCTCCAGTTCCATCCACGTCGTTGCAAATGGCAAGATCTCATTCCTTTTGATGGCTGCATAATATTCCATTGTATATATATATACCACATCTTCTTTATCCATTCATCTGTCGATGGACATCTTGGCTCTTTCCACAGTTTGGCTATTGTGGACATTGCTGCTATAAACATCGGGGTGCACGTACCCTTTTGGATCCCTACTTTTGTATCTTTGGGGTAAATACCCAGTAGTGCAATTGCTGGATCAGAGCATATGACTCTTGATCTCGGGGTCCTGAGTTTGAGCCCCATGTTGGATGTAGAGATTACTTGAAAGAAAAGAAAGAAAGAAAGAAAGAAAAAGAAAGAAAGAAAGAAGGAAGGAAGGAAGGAAGGAAGGAAGGAAGGAAGAAAGAAAGAAAGAAAGAAAGAAAGAAAGAAAGAAAGAAAGAAAGAAAGAAAGAAAGAAAGAAAGTTAGTTGCTGGACTCTTTTCCAGAGCAGTCATTTTGTATTTGCAGCCAAATTGTATGAGGGTTCCAGTCCCTCCACAGCCATGTCAACACTTGGTGCATTAGTCTTTTTAATTTCAGCCATTTCAAATTGTGTGTTTTTGTTTTTGTTTTTTTAAATCACTCTTGGGGCTCCTGGGTGGCTCAGATGGTTAAGTGTCTGTCTTCGGCTCAGGTCATGATCTCAGGGTCCTGGGATCAAGCTCCGCATCGGGCTCCCTGCTCAGTGGAGAGCCTGCTTCTCCCTCTGCCTCTGGCCCTCCCCATCGTGCTCTCTCTCTGTCAAATAAATAAATAAGTCTTAAAAAAAAAAAAATCACTCTTCCTGCAGCAAGGAAAAGGAGTTGAAAGGGACAAAAAGCCAGTTGGGTGGCTTTTGTAGTAGTCCAGGTGGGAGGCTTTGAGAGCGTTAGCAAACCTCTGGCCTCCTTTCCCATCAGGAGATAGAGCGGCTGCAGGAAGGGGATAGTAAAGAAGAATTTACTTTTGAATGTATTGAGCACACAGTGCACAGGGTTGAGCAATGAGGGATTCGCAGAGCCAGAAGGAAACACGTATCTTGCTAATGATGGGCTCCTGACCCTGCTTTGAGGGCTGGGGACCCCACCCGTAGAGGGGGTCGTGGGCAAGGCAAAGAGATAGCTCTTGTCTCCTTGGCTGAGAGGATGAAGCAAATCCTCACACAGAAGGAGTTTAAGTAGTAGTTATCTTTTGAAATAATTCTGTTACAACATCACTCAACTAATTCAATATTAACTTACAAATTGGCTGATCTTGTGTCTCATCTAGGTGCACAGAGCCTCCCTTCAGGTGGCTCAAAGTTTAGTGAGTGAAGGGAGCTGACCATCATTTTGAACACTGTTTTTCACAGGACCTGTTTCTTTGACACTCTCTCGACCCCAATTTATTTATCTGTAGCCTCCTCCTGAGGGGTCCCAGGCTTACAAAAGGGCAGCTCTGTCGACAAGGTGAATTCGCTGAGCTACCTGTGCAAGGGCTGATGAACATCAGTTCCATCTTCCGGGATTCCAGCAGGACCACTGCTCAGGCTTCAGGCCGTGAGTGGCTCCATCCTCAGCTGTCTCCCAGAAGCCACGCAAGCCCGTGTTTTCACCCCCACTCTCGGGGCAGACTGAGATGGGGGTGGCCGCAAAAAGTACCCTGGGAAGACCGAGTGGTCATAAAAGCGTGCTAGTCAACCGCGTGCCTCCTAGCTCACCAGATGTGTCAAGAGGCCAATCAGCGCCAAGAGTGCCCAAAGACAAAAATGGTCATTTATTGGGAGAACAGAAAGTGGAGCCCTGGCTAAAACCACTTTGCTTTCACCAGCAACTTTTTAATCCCTTTGTCTGGTGCATGAAATCAGTTCCCAGAACACAAGGTTTATTAATAACTGTGGGACCTTTTCCCAGTCTCCAGATCAATTGGCAGAAACCTCTAGCTACTTCCTTCTGGATGATTCTATTATTTAGTGGCATCTCCTTGAAACTGGTACAGTTTTTTTTTTACCTGGCTTGGGAATTGCACATCACCCCCACCCCCCCACCCCGACCCCCACCCAACAAACCAGACTCACCGGGAGGCTTTGTCTCCCTGTGCACCTTCCTGAGTGGCTGGCTTCTTTGCTTCCGGGGAGATGCTCCTGCTGTCTCAGTGGACTGCAGGGTGATGTACCTCTCCTCCGGGCTGGCTCCTCACTGCCCGGAGTGCTCCTGAGTGTTGACAGGGATCCACGGAGCCAGCCTGATTTAGGATGAGGTCATTTTGAGCTGCTTCCTCTCCTTGTGGTTGGCGAAGGCCCCAGAGTCAGCTGCTGGGCAGGGGCTAAACAAGGCCCAGGTCTTAATGTGGGGACTTGGTGTGTGTGTGGGGGGGCACTTCTGCAGGAGGAGGCTCTAATCATGGCAGCTCCTACAGCGGTAGGGAGGGGGTCAGTGTCATAAATGCAGGATTTCTTCCAGAGCTTGCCTTCTGCTCTCCTTCACCCTTCTCTGGGGCTTCAGCATGCCGCGGCTTTACCAGGATCTCCCCTCAGGAAACTGCCCTCTGACTCTGCCCCTCCAAGCTCCACCCCACCCGCCAGCCTGCTGTCTGTATCTCCAGAGACTGGCATCCTAAACCCAGCCTGGCACCGTGGGATGGACAGGCCTGGGGTCCCCTGGCCCTGGCCCCTGAGCTCACCTGTGAAGAAATGAAAACAAGCACACCTGCCTTGTGAGGTTCAGAGATGGTAGGACCAAAGCACCTCCCGGACACAGTGCACAGCAGGCACACACCACGTGGCCACCAAGAGCTGACTTCATTTCCCCGCAAAGGTGCTCACCCCCCTCTCCTGCCTGTCCCCGTGAATGGCCCCAGCGCTCCTTGTCACTCAGACCCAATGACAAAGCAGTATTCGTGTGCGTCTTTCACTGGTCTGTTGTGGTTTTTTGCTCTTGTGGTAAAAGAGACATAACATAACACTGACCACCTTCACCAGCCATCTCTAAGTGTAGAATTCAGGGGCATTAAGTCAGCACTTTTCCATCCTCCCCAAATTAACACTCTGCCCGCCTTAAACAGCACCTCCCCGCTCCTCCCTCCCCTCAGTCCCTGGCAACAGCCTTCTTCTGAATCTATGAAGCTGACTACTCTAGGTGCCTCACAGAAGTGGAACCAGACAGCATCTATCCTCTTGGGTCTGGCATAATGTCCCTCAAGTCTCACTCATGTTGTAACATATGTCAGAATTTCCTTCTGGATAATATTTCCGGCTGACTAATATTCCATTGTATGTATAGACCACATTTAAACAATCCACTCACTGGGCTATTTTCCAAAAGGGTTTTTGGAGGGGAAAGTAATGCATGAACACACATCACAGAAGAGTGTAGAGTGAAACCATGTCTCCTCCCGGCGCCTCAGTCCCCGGCCCTCGGATTTTCCCTCAGCAGTGACCTTCCACTCCACCTTCCTGTCTGCGCCCACTGCCCAGACTCTGCCTTCTGGAAGCTGTCCTGCACACACTGCCAGAGGGGGTGTCCCCCTTACCGCATGTGGCCTTCCAGGATGCCCACCAGCTGGTCCCTGCTGACCACTACAGCGTATGTCCCTGACACCGCGGCTGCTTCCTCTCTCCAAGATGCCTGAAGACACCTTCTTCTCCTCACCAGAGTCGGTACCAATGCCTCCTTCCCCAGAAAGGTGTCTGGACTATTCCCGCCATCCCAACAGGAATTCCTCTCTCCCTCCTTGTGCTTCTATGACGCTGACCCTAATCTGACCTGGCTCTGGAGTGCTTGGTTACTCTCCAGTCTCTCCCCAGGTAAGTCAACTCCTGTCAGGAAAGGAAGCTCATTTATCCTTGAGTGTGCTTGGGTGACTTCTCCACACAGGCCTGGGCTCTGAGACTGGCCTGCGGGGCGTCCCTCAGCTTCTCACACGTCCTTCTCCTCAGAGCCCCGGGGATAATGGTTCTTCCTCACAGGCTTGCTGAGGCAACTCAATCAGTGTCAGGTAAACCCAGTTGGCATTTAATAAGTGCAGGCCCCCCTCCATGGGAGCAGGACTGGCTGGTAGGTGCCAGGGTGTGTGACGCTCACCCACCAGCACAACTGGACCCTGGTGTCCTTAATGCTCAAGGGTCCCCCTTCAACACAACTGAAGGAAGGGAAGATCTGGGTGAGGAGGGCCAGTTCTTGCATCAGGGAAGTGGGGGGAGGCATGAGGTGGTGCCCCATCCTGGGTACTGCCCCAGAAGCTTCCACAGATGTGAAGGGCCCCTGGAACTGGGTTTAGGGACCAGGTCACATGCTGAGGTCTGCCCAGAAGCTGCAGCCCACCAAGGCCCACCTTTGCTTCCACCCTCCTCTCTCCCAACTATCTCCAACTCTTCTGGTGGGGCCGTGGGAAGCATTGCCAGAGGACGGGGCATGAGTGCATGTAGCCCCTGAACCCCAGGACCCCAGTGCCAGAATGTTCAGATCCTCATGGCCTCCCCTCTACATGGACGAGTTCTTCTGGTGCTTTCATACCTGACAGGGCAACCAGAGAGGCCTCAGCTCATAAAGGAAATCTGCTCCTTTACCATTCACTCATTCAAGTCCAGTGTTTGTGGAAGACCAAGTGTCGGGCACGGTCCTATGGGGCATCGTCTGTTGTTGTGCAGACTTACAACCCCTCCCGTTGCCATCCTCCTCTTTGTCTGGTGCCTCCTATTCCTGAGTCTAGCTGCTGAGACTCCCTCAACCAGCAGTGCCCCTCCCCCGGGGTCCAGATCCAGCTTTCTCTACGTAATGATGCTAGTTCTCTTTTGTCTCTTGCTTTTTGCCTTCCTAAATTTTGTGGACATCTCTGATCATTTGTCACTTTCTTGCCCCATTTCTTTGTCTTCCGGATTTATGCCTATTCCGATCCTGTCATTACCTTTTCGTGATGTTTCCGACAGGAAGCAGAGATAAATTCTGGTGTTGCAGTTGCCATAGCTAACTAGAATTGCCTTCCAATTTAATCTTCACTTGGAATGTTTTCACAATGATTTATGGAATTTGGATAATGTTCAGTTAGAAAATAGTATTTGTTTTCAGAAATCTGGAAAAATACAGAAGTATTCAGAACATAAAAATCAGTCATAATCCCAGAAATGCAGAAATAACCACTCTTAACATTTTGCTTTATGTATAATAGATTCTTTAAAGGAGAAAATGTCACCTCTTTTCTGCTTTCTTGAATTTGATGTTGACACTTGGGGGCTGCTGGCTCCCCTGAAGAAGGCTTTTTATCATTGGGAGACACTTGCCAAACCGTGCTTGGACACCCCAAAGATTCACTGTTACACTGACTGGTGCCTCTCCCTGTTCCGCGCGCCCCCCCCCCCCCCCCATTTCCCTTGGTCTGCCCACTTCCACCCACGGTTCAAACCTTCAGTGCCTGGAGGAGGGTGATCAGGGAACATGGAGCACGCCTCCCAATGCTGTCATCCCCAGGGAATGTTCTGCCAGGAGAGAGGACTAGGAGAAAAGCACCTCACTGCATTCCACAGTCGCCTGTCAGCTGCCCCTGGCTGTTGTCTGGTCCTTGGTGATCCCTGATGGGGGATTTCGGGATCCTTGAGGAGTCACTGGTTGGGGGGAAGGTGGCCAGTCCTGGAAATGGGCAGCTCTTTAATCCACCAAATCAAAATGACCCCCCACCTGAGTCTTAGCACGCTGAAGTTCTGGATTCAGAACTTAGGCTAGGGCGCCTGGGTGGCTCAGTTGGTTAAGCGACTGCCTTCGGCTCAGGTCATGATCCTGGAGTCCCGGGATCGAGTCCCGCATCGGGCTCCCTGCTCGGCAGGGAGTCTGCTTCTCCCTCTGACCCTCCTCCCTCTCATGCTCTCTGTCTCTCATTCTCTCTGTCTCAAATAAATAAATAAATAAAATCTTAAAAAAAAAAAAAAAAGAACTTAGGCCAAATATGGAAAACATTTACGCTGAAAGTCAAAGAAACACAAATCAGAAAGGCAATGAAATGCATCCTTCCACCCTTGCTCAATAAACTGCAGATATTTTCAAAAAGAAAATCACCAGTGAGACAGGGAGTTGTATATTGCTCTTGGGTGTATACACTTACAAAATGCTTTTGGGAAGTAATTTTCCAATAGTACTAAGAAGCTGAAAATGTTTATACTTTTTGATCTAGTAATTTTACTTATGGGACTTTGATGTAAGGAAAGAATTCTAAATGTAATAAAGCTTTGTGCACCAAAATAGTGGCAGCATTATTAGTGATGTCAGAAATGATAACAACATAATCTAAATGCCCAACAGTAAGGGAATAGTTTCATGAATACTATTTGTGAAAAGTTTATTACAGTATGACCAAGTGATTGTTATTGGAATAAGTGAAAACAGATAAACCCAGTATTTAATATATAGTTTGCTGATGTTGTCAAGACAAAAGTAATATAATACGGAGAAAGGGGAAAATACACTAACGTTTTAATACTAGTTATCTTTTTAAAAGATATTTTATTTAAATTTATCTATTTTTTTTTTTTTTAGTAATCTCTATACCCAGTGTGAGGCTTGAACTTACGACCCCGAGATCAAGAGTCACATGCTCTACCTACTGAGCCAGCCAAGCACCCCAATACTAGTTATTTTTGAATGAAGGGGGGGACAGAAAATATTTTGGTTTTTCCTCTCTATTTTTCAGTATTTTACAAATTATCTATCATCCCAGTATTACTTTATAATTGGAAAAACAATAGTAAACCTACCTTTTAAGGGAAAAATAATTAGCCAGTTGCACTTTACTTAAGTGCTACTGTATATTCAGATCAGAGATTTGTTTTAATTTTTTTAAAGATTGTACTTATTTATTTGAGACAGAGAGAGTGAGCAAAAGAGAGAGCGTGAGTACGGTGGAGGGGCAGAGGGAGAGGGAGAAGCAGACTCCCCACTGAACAGGGAGCCCGGCATGAGGCTCGATCCCAGGACCCTGGGATCATGACCTGAGCCAAAGGCAGATACCTAATGACTGAGCCACCCAGGCGCCCCTAGAGATTTCTTTTAAAAATGGAATTAAATTGAGCTCATCTTGTGCAATTCTTTATTATTTTACTGATGAAGAAACTGAATTTAAAGAGGGCAATGGCTTTGCCCCAACCTTGCATCCTGGGCCCTTGTTTGTGCCCATCTCCACACTGCCTCAGAGAATGAGTGAGGCACGGGATGGGAGGGCACCTACCAGTCAATTCATAACATCTCAGTGAGTTAAAGAGGACAGAGTTCAAGGTGGTTGTCCCTGAGGAGCAATGGGCAGTCCACATCCTTGTGGATGGGGGTGAGGGGGGTCAGACTTGGGAAATGCTGGGCATCATCTCAACTAGGAGACCGCTGGAGCCAGTCGCTTCCCAGGCACAGCTCAGGCCACCTGCTCTCCAGTAAGTGTCCGTGCTATGACCCTCTTTCCTCTTGCCAGCCCTCTTTCCACTCTGGTTGCATCTCAGGGCACTTGATTAACTGGACTTCCTACTTGGAACGCTGTCTCCTGTTTTCCTCTACCCTTCAAGATTCTGGCCGGTCGGTGAATTAAATTACTATAAGACAGATTAACCGGAGAAAGTAAAATTTAATTATATATGTACAGGGAATCTACAGAAACAGAGATCCCAAAGACAGATAGATGTCCGGCTTGAGCATCTTTATGGGATGAAGGTAGGAAATGGCAATCTGTTAGATTTTCCTGGTTTGTAGTCTGAATGTCACTGATGATTTTTCTGAGCGACCACAGAGCAACTGGCATGAAGATAATCCATACAAGAGCTTTGTGGTGAGGTAACCCACAAGAGAGTGCACAATACATAGCCCTCACAAGATCCAGGAAGTTTACTTCCAAATTTGGCCTAAGAAAGATCTACCCACAAATGGGTGCATCCCACATTCTGACCTGCCCAATTAGTGACCTCATCTGATTTTTTTTTTTTTTTAAGATTTTATTTATTTATTTGACAGAGAAAGACACAGCGAGAGAGGGAACACAAGCAGGGGGAGTGGGAGAGGGAGAAGCAGGCTTCCTGCCAAGCAGGGAGCCCGACACGGGACTCGATCCCGGGACTCCAGGATCATGACCTGAGCCGAAGGCAGTCGCTTAACCGACTGAGCCACCCAGGCGCCCCTCATCTGATTTTGCTTATATGCACATTAATAGCTTTGGCTAAGCCTTGGGTCTCTTGGAGCCACTAATACCTAAGAGGAATGTGCTGTGTGGTTGGGTATGGTGTGATTTTTTTTTTTGAAGTTTTTTTTTTTTTTTTTTAAGATTTTATTTATTTATTTGACAGACAGAGAGCACAAGTAGGGGGAGCGGCAGTCAGAGGGAGAAGGAGAAGCAGACTCCTTAGCGGGGAGCCCGATGGGGGACGTGATCCCAGGACCCTGGGATCATGTCCTGAGCCGAAGGCAGACGCTTAACTGACTGAGCCACCCACGTGCCCCTGTGTGATGTTTTTTTACAGAGTATCTGTTCAAGGAAATTTTCTTGAGGTTGGTGGGTTACCTAGTGTCAATCTAACCTATTCCGTGACCAACTTATCCTAACATGTGAGACTTTGGGTTAATGGGCGAGCACCCTTACATGCCTGACCTGTGTCCACCAATTTTGTGGCTTTGACTTGCAAGATGTCCCTTCACAAAAGCCTTTACCTCGTGTGCACATTAACCCACAGCATAGTTTGACTAACCAGACACTGGTCTGCTAAGGACTGTGAACTCACCGGTCTGTCTTGTGGGCTCTAAGAGCAGCTAATCGGACCTATGCCTGCATTCTGCCCTATCATCTTGCTCTTTATGACAAACAACATAACAGACAGAGACAAAGAAAAACAGTCACTATCTTTGGGAGGAAAAGGAGCCACAAAGTGTAAAAAAATGCAGCCCTCACAGGATCCAGAATGTCCACTCCCAAATTTAGCCTAAGAAAGATTTAGCTGCAAATGAGGTGTGACCCACGTTTCTGCCCAGCCATATCTAGCCACAAATGGGGTGCAACCCACATTTACAATGAGGATTGAGATGACAGTCACCCCTATGGACCAGGACCCCTATGACAAATTCTCCTGAGAGCTGGTACAGTTGGACAAAGAGAGTGAAGTGTGTTAAATAGATGACTTAGGATCCATTGCCTCTTTGGCTGTCTGCCTGATGCATGCCAGTACATGCATCTTCTGGTTGGCAGAGTCCAGAGAGAATATTCTCACTGGTCATAAAGCCACACTCTTAAGACACGGAACAAGGTGAAAGGAAAACCTAATCAGACCTATTGTTCTCCATGCTTTACAACAAATGACACAAAAGACAGAGACAAAAGAAAACAATGACCATCTCTGGAAGGAAAAAGATCAATACAAGACAAGAATACTCATAACAAAATTTACTAAAGTTGCTATACCCAAGGAACTAGTCTACAAATATCTTTTTTCCTGCAATTCTATATTTAGAAAGAGAAAGAAAAAGGACTCTCATCATTTTCATTTCCATCAGACCCCACAGGCAGAAATCTAGGAGGCTGATGTGGTAAGAAATCTTATCATCTGCCAGCTTTTATCAGCTGTCCCAGTATCTCTCAGCTGCAGCAATTCAAACTGAATAGTGTCCAGCCAGGGAAGTTCATCCTGCGGACTACACCAATTGTTGGGGAGGAAAAATTTTCCTTTACCCTTCAAAATTCTTGCTAGTCTAAGAATTATATTGACATGAGACAGATTAACAGAAAAAAATAAAATTTAATCATATATTTATGGGAATCCACAAAAACATAAGATATTCCAAAGACAGTCAGGCAAAATGAAGTACATATGTCATTTTGGACTAAGGAGATGGGTTAGGGGTCCAGGAGGTAATTTACAGGAAGACTGAAAAGAGTGTTTGGTAAACAAATGTTTGCTGGGCCATCCCGAAACAATGGCACAGAGAGAGGACTTTGATCAAGTAGGCATTGTTGTTTCCTCCCTATCCACCACCACTAGGTCATATTGTGTAGTTATCTATGCTGATAGCTCTCTTCCTGAGCAAGTCCTCTATCTAAATTCTTTTAGGCATTTAAGAGGAAGGTCAAATGTTCTTCCTGGGCCTTCTGTTTTGTTTTGTTTTTGTTTTTGTTTTTTTAAGATTTATTTATTTATTTGAGAGAGAGAGAGCACAAGCTGGAGGGGCAGAGGGAGAGGGAGAACCTGAAGTAGTCTCCATGCTGACCACTGAGCCTGATGGGGGCTCAATTTCATAACCCTGAGATCACGATTTGAGCTGAAACCAAGAGTTGGATACTTAATGAACTGTGCTACCAAGGTGACCCTGGGCCCTCTATGTTTTTTGTTTTTGTTTTTATTTTTATTATTAGTTTTTAAAGATTTTTATCCATTCATTTGACAGAGAGAGCACAAGCAGGAGGAGTGGGAGAGGGAAAAGCAGGCTCCCCACCGAGGAAGGAGCCTGATGCAGGGCTTGATCCCAGGACTCTGGGATCATGACCTGAGCCAAAGGCAGACGCTTAACCGACTGAGCCATCCAGGATTCCCATGTTTTTGTTTTTTGTTTTTGTTTTTTAAGCAATCAGCCTAAAGTAATCCACATGCCCAAGACACATGTTGTGGGGTGGAAAATTTTGCCCCCTACATCCCTTGGTTTACACACCTCTGTTCCTGTTAACTCAGGCTCAGCCTTCAGATCTCAGCTCCAGCTCCCTTTTTCTGGGAAGTCTTCCCTGACCACCAGACCAGATTATGCCCTCTTTGTTCTTTTCCTCCATAGAGAGATCACCACTGTAATTAAATAACCATCCACCTGTTGTGATAATGTCTATCTCCTCCTCCAGACCACAGAACCCTGTGGGATTATTTAGTCAACATCTCTGGCAACAAACTGTGCAGGCAGATAGTGAGTACTCAAAGTACATTAGATGAATAAATGAAAGTAACTGATTCTGCCAGCTCGACCAGAGGGCGGGGGCTGTGGGCTCCTTTTCCTGTCTGCTCCCTGGGACTGCTAAAAACCATCTGCTCTCATGGCATTGGAGAGAGCTAGCATAGCCTCCCTAATGCATTTATGCTTGCATTTGCTCAATAAGGATCTATTGAGAGGCTGCTATGTGCCAGTATTCTAGGCTTTTGGAATTTCCATAGGCAGTGAACATACCATCAAAATCCCTGCCTTCATGAGATTACATCTATACTAAGGGAGACATACTGAGCAAATAAACAGGAAACTATATTTTAAGCTGGTAGTAGAGCCACGAGGGATTTGGGGAGAAGTGGAGGTAAGCTTCGATTTGAAATGAAATGGTCGGGAAAGGCCTTCATGAGAAGGTGACTGGTTTTTTTTTTTTATTTATTTTTTATTTTTTAAAGATTTTTATTTATTTATTCATGAGAGACAGAGAGAGAGAGGCAGAGGGAGAAGCAGGCTCCCAAGGAGCAGAGAGCCCGATGCGGGACTCGATCCCAGGACCCTGGGATCATGACCTGAGCCGAAGGCAGACGCTTAACCATCTGAGCCACCCAGGTGCCCTGAAAAGGTGACTGTTGAGCAAAAACCTGCATGAGGTAACAGAGCAAGCTATGTGGCAATCTGGTGGAGGAGCATGGCAAACTAAATACAGGCTGCCCAGGCAAATGTGAATTACTCTGTTAGTGTAAATATGTCCCAAATATTGTATGGGACACACATTAAAAATTGTTCATTGATTATCTGAAATTCCAATATTCATATTGAATTATTTCACTTGTTACCATAAGAATGTATTACTATTGTAATTTGAAAAGCATCACATAAATTTTTTTTAAAGATTTATTTAAGCGAGCGAGCATGCACACAAGCAGTGGGGAGGGGCAGAGGGAGAGGGAGAAGCAGACTCCCCACTGAGCAGGGATCCTGATGTGGGGCTTGATCCCAGGACCCTGGGATCATGACCTGAGCCGAAGGCAGACATTTAACTAACTGAGCCACCCAGGGACCTCCCCCCCTTTTTAAAAAAAGATTTTGGATCGCATAAAATTTTAAGATAAATAAACATGAGGCATTCTTCCAGGAATCTTTATGTCCAAATATAAAGGTAAAGCTAATAATCTACACCCAACCTAATGCCCTCTGAGGTAATCACTCCTCTGAGGTAACCATTACTAATTTCCTGAATATAGCCCTTTTCCTCCTCCTCTTTTGCATGTATACACATTTGTATTAGCTTCCTAGGACTGTTGTCAAAATGTTCCACAGACTGGGTGGCTTAAACAACAGAACTTTATTCTCTCACAGCTCTGCAGGCTGGATGTCCAAGATCAAGGTGTCAGCAGGACCATGCTCTCTCTGCAGACTGTAGGGGAGGACCTTTCTTGGCCTCTTGCAGCCTCTGAGAGCCCAGGCATTTCTTGGCTTATGGCAGCATAGCTTTTATCTCTGATTCCATCTTCAGGTCTTGTTCTTGCTTTTCCAAATTTCCCTCTTCTTAAAAGGACACTAGTCATTGGATTAGGGCCCATCCTAATCCAGGATGACTTCATCTTAACTTAATTACATCTGAAAAAACCCTATCTCCAAATAAGGTCACATTCCCAGGTACTAGGAATTAGGACTTCAACATATCTTTTGGGGGGGACACAATTCACACATAACACTTAGCTTCAAGGACTCCAAACCATCCCCAGGTTGTTGATTTTTCTTTGGTGGTGGTGGTGGTGGTTTATAAGGCCCCAGGTGGTATGATCCCCACTTACCTCTATGACCCCATTCCTGCAACCTTTTTCTCTAATTTGCTCCTCTCCGGCCACACAGTCTCTGTGGTTATGTCTCCTTCCTCATTCCCATTCTTGCTTATTTTTACATGTGCTCTTGATGTAGTTCTGGAATGTTAGTGAGGTCCGGAGCCTACATCCAAGAAAAAATTCTTGAGACATCTTTGGTGCAAAAAGGTGATTTTATTAAAGCATGGGGACAGGACCTGCGGGCAGAAAGAGCTGCTGCCCCAGGATTGGGAGGAGCAACTGATTATATACCTTGGGGTTGGAGGAAATAAAGATAAGGGAAGTTCCTAAAGGACATTCATAAACTAAAGAAGACTCACAGGATCCCGGAGGAAAGTTATAATCTTCCTATCTCAAGTATTTGTCAATGGGCTGCAGGTTATAAGGACATTTAATTTTGTGTACATTCCCTTCTGCCTTTGTTTTCCACATCAATCTTTTTTTCCTTAATTGGGCTCATAAAAAGTTAACCTATAATCTATTTTATTGGTCTTTTCAAAGTTTTAGTTTGGATTTATTGATCCCTGCTTTCCTCCTTCTCCTCCTCCCCCTCTTCTTCCTTCTTTGGTTTGTTTTCTATTCTATTAGTCTCAACCTATTATTTATTAATCTTTTCCTCCTTCTTTCATTTTTTTTTTTTTACATTTCTTAATATGATAGTTATTTTCTATGTGATCTTCTTTCTTGTTTTCTTTAGCAATGAAATAACTTAAACTTGTTTATTTTGTTCAGCTCTACTTTTGACGCATACTACAGGTTTTGGTATAAGGTATTCTTTCATATTACTTACAAGATAATTTATAATTTCAGAATTGATACCTTGTAGAGGAGGGGAAAAACTCCTCTTAAGTTCAGTGGTGGGGCCAGTAAGTCATACTGATAAAAGACAGATTAACAGGAGGGAAAAAAGAAACAGATTTAATCACAAGCCTACATACAGAAGTCCACAAGGAAATGTGACTCAAGAAGGCAGTTATAATTGGGGCTTATATACCATCTTTACAAAGGATGATAAAGTGTTAAGAAGAAGCTAAACAAACAAAAAGATGTTTGGGGCTTCTGAGGGTAAGTGCTTATTGGGAAGTCATTAGGTAAATAAGGGCTGTCCACTAAGGTTTGTTATGCAGATAAGAGTTATTTCAGATGATAAGAGTTGTCTCTTACCTCAGGAGCAGTTCTTTTCCTGCTACAGGAGAGGGGGACACCTTTACAAATGGAAATTTATGTTACCTTTGAAAAGGGAAATTTATACCCTGTTTTCAGACAGAAAGATGGAGGGCAGGGAGCTATTTGTCTTCAGCTCAAAACAATCCTTATGCCAAAGTGGCATATTTTGGGGTGACAACTCTGATCCCCTTCATCTCTCTGAGCTCATAATTATTGGGGAGTGTATTTTTTAAAAGATTTTTTTCATGAAAGAGAGAGAGAGTGGGGGAGAGGGAGAGAGAGAATCTCAACAATGAGACTCCTAGCTGAGGGTGAACACGCAGGGCTCCATCCCATGACCCCGAGATCATGACTGGAGCCGAAATCAAGAGATGGCTGCCTAACTGACTGAGCCACCGAGGCACCCCTGGGGAGTGTATTTCTTAATTTCCAAGTAGTTAAAATTTTGTTTGTTTGTTTGTTTATAGCACATGTGATTGGAGAGGGAGGGGCAATGGGAGAGGGAGAGAGAGAGAATTTCAAGCAGACTACACACTGAGCATGGAGCCCCACATGGGGCCCAATCCCATGACCCCAAGATCACGACCTGAGTCCAAGCTGAGAGTCGGATGGCCAACTGACTGAGACACCCACATGCCCCTCTGTTTACTTTTTATTATTTTTACCAACCATGTTGGATTATGATCAGAAAAATAAGGCTACTACTTTTTAAAATTTGTTATTATTTTATTTTTTTGCCAAAGACATGATCAATTTTTGTAAATGCTCCATGGACATGAAAATTTTTCTATATGAGGGACAGTTCTCTATTAAAAAAGTATTATCTACTTTTTTTACATGGTTCATTAATTTTGATCTATTAAGCAATTTTTAGTTTTTAAAATGTATTCAGCTTCTAAGTTGTTTAGTGCATACAGGTTTATAACTATTATATCATCTTCATTAATTGTGCTTTTTATCATTACATATATCTTCTTTCTAGGTTGATAGACTTGACCTTAATTTTTTACCTTAATTTTTACTAATTTTGCTTTGTTTGCTTGTAACTGCTTGGTGCCTCTTTGTCCCTTTAATTTCAACCTTTATCTATCACTGTTTCATCTGTATTTATTATCAACATATAGCTAGGTTTCTTTTTTTTAAAAATTAATTATTTATTTATTTGACAGAGAGAAATAGAGAGCACAAGCAAGGGGAACGGGAGAGGGAGAAGCCGGCTCTCCGCTGAGCAGGGAGCGTGATACAGGGCTGGGTCCCAGGACCCTGGGACCATAACCCAAGCGAAAGGCAGACATTTAACCAACTGAGCCACCCAGACACCTCTCCTTCCTTCCTTCCTTCCTTCCTTCCTTCCTTCCTTCCTTCCTTCCTTCCTTCCTTCCTTCCTTCCTTCCTTCCTTCCTTCCTCCCTCCCTCCCTCCCTCCCTCCCTCCCTCCCTCCCTTCCTTCCTAGATTTTATTTATTTGTCAGAAAGAGAGAGAGAGAACACAAACAGGGGGAGCAGCAGGCAGAGGGAGAAGTAAACTCCCTGCTGAGCAAGGAGCCCGATGTGGGGCTCGATCCCAGGACCCTGGGATCATGACCTGAGCCGAAGGCAGAAGCTTAACTGACTCAGCCACCTAGGTGTCCCAAAATCTACTCATTTAAATGTACTTGTGTTACTTATAAGGTGAGAAAAGATCAAGTGAGGCCTAGTCTGTTCAATGAAACTTATGAGCACGGAATTATTTTTTTCTCTCTTAAAACTAATTTTCACTTTAAAAAAAAAGAGAGCTGAACCTTGAGAGAAATTTAGAGCAGTGATTCTCAGACTTTTGTGTGCATCAGAATCACCTGGAGAACTTCTTAAATCACAGATTCCTGGGCCCCACCCAGAGATTCTGATTAGGAGTTCAGGCTTGAGTCTCATGAATCTGCATTTCCAGCAAGCTCCCTGGTAGTGCTGATGCGGCTGGTATGAGAACCATATTTAGTAGCACTGATTTAGAACAGTGATTCTCAGACTTGAGCACACATCAAAATCACCTGGAGGGTTTGATAAAACAGAGTGCCTAGCCTAATCCCAGTTTCTGTTTTAATAGGTCTGGAGTGGAGCCTAAGAATTTGATATAAATTGAAATGAAAAAGAAAACCTTTCTCTTCATCCTCAACCCTCAGCAAACTTCCCTGTGGAAAATATAAGTTTCTATGTGTGGCTTTATATATAGCCTTATTGTTTTCATAGATGGGATCACAGTATTGGAATTATTCTAAACATTGCTTTTTAAAAATTTTTTGTTTATTTACTTGAGAGAGACAGAGAGAGAGACAGAGGGAGCATGAGCAGGGCAGAGGAAGAGGAAGAGGGAGAAGCAGACACCCCACTGAGCAGGGAGCCGGTTATGGGACTCGATCCCAGGACCCCAGGATCATGCCCTGAGCCAAAGGCAGATGCCCAACTGACTGAGCCACCCAGGCACCCCCAAACATTGCTTTTTTATTTAATAGTGTATCAAGGAGATCTTTTGATAGAAGCACATGTAACCAACTTTGATCTTTATAGCTGTACAGTATTCCACTGTATGAATATAGAATAGTTTAATTAACCCATCCCCAAATTGTGGACATTCAGGCTATTCCCTTTTTTTTAACTTTAAGAAACAAAGCTTATTAAAATTTATAATTAATTTAAAAAAAGAAACCTAGCTATATGCTGATAATAAATACAGATGAAACAGTGATAGATAAAGGTTGAAATAAAAATAAAATAAAATAAAAAACTCAGTAGAAAAATGGGTAAACAGCACAGACAAGGAAAGACAAACAGCCCTAAATGTAGAAAAAGATGTTCAATCTCATTTATTAATAAAATGTAAATGAAAACTACAATTAGATGTCAATACCACTTTTCACTTATCAGATGGACAAAAATCAAAATATTTAACACCACTCTTTGTTAGTAAGGCTGTGAAGAAACGGGCACTCTTATACATTGTTAATGGGCGTACAGGATAGTGCAACCATTTGGAGTGAATGTGGCTGACAAAATTTCATATGCCTTTACTTCTTGATGTAGCAATACCCCTTCCAGGCATTTACCCTGAAGACTTACCTCCGCAAATAGATAGCAACCTATGCACAGGATTATTCATTATGGCACAATTCATAATAGCAAAAGATCAGTTCAAATTCCCATTAATAGGGGACTGATTGAATAAAATATGGTACATCGATCTTGTTGCAATAGTTTGTTTATTCTATTAATTTTTCTATGTCGATCATATTGTTTTTCACAAAATGATAGCTTATCTCTTTATTTCCAATTCTTGTATTGCTTATATCTTTTCATCTTTTTATAGCATTGTCCAGCATCTCTAGTATTTTATTTTATTATTAGTTTTTAAAGATTTATTTATTTGAGAGAGAGAGAGAGACAGAGAATGCAGGTGGGAGGGGCAAAGGGAGATGGAAAGAGAGAAACTCAAGCAGACTCCCTGCTGAGTGTGGAGTCTGATGTGGGGTTCAATCCCGTGACCCCAAGATCATGACCTGAGCTGAAATCAAAAGTCAGATGCTCAATTGACTGAGCCACCCAGGCACCCCTCTAGTATAATTTTAAAGAGTAGCTAAAGTAGTAGACAGCTTATTTTTCATTACGCTTAAAAGAAATGCTTCTAAAGGGGCGCCTGGGTGGCTCAGCCATTAAGCGTCTGCCTTCGGCTCAGGTCACGATCCCAGTGTCCTGGGATCGAATCCCACATTGGGCTCCCTGCTCGGCGGGAAGCCTTCTTCTCCCTCTCCCACTCCTGCTGCTTGTGTTCCTGCTCTCGCTATCTCTGTCTCTGTCAAATAAATAAAATCTTTAAGAAAAAAAATGCTTCTAAAGTTTCTCCATTTAGTTATTATTTTTTAAAATTCACTGTTGAATTCAGCTAGCTAATATTTTATATTGGATATTCAAATATATGTTCATATAT